AGGGCGAGAGGCGGGGTACACCCTGGACAGGTCGCCAGTCTGTCGCAGGGCCATGTTGAACTTTAGAAAAATATTTGAGCTGATGACTTTAAAGCAGGAGTGTTGAACTCCAGGCCTCGAGGGCCGGTCTCCTGCAGGTTTTAGATATCACCCTGGGTCAACACACCTGAATCAAGTGATTAGTTCATTACCAGGCCTCTGGAGAACTTCAAGACATATTGAGAAGGTAATTTAGCCATTTAAATCAGCTGTGTTGGATCAAGGAAACATCTAAAGCCTGCAGGACACCGGCCCTCGAGGCCTGGAGTTTCGACACCTGTGCTTTAAAGAGACGATACGACCTTTTTGTGGCGTTTTGTGTTCCGTTACTATGTTCAAGTTTTTTTTCCAGAGAAAACACAAAAGCTTAAAGTCCAGGGTTTTACATCCACCTGAAAGCTCTTGTTTTCTGTTTTTTGTGGTTACTGTTTGAACTATATTAGATTTTTTTGTCCTTATCAAAGAAAGATTTCAGATTTTTTGACAAAGTAAACATAACATGGTTTTAGGAGAGCACAGGCTGTACCTTGAATTGTGACTGGAAGGGTCTCATGGCCAGCAGTTCTCGCTCTACTCTCTCTTTCATCCCAGGATACTGCATGTTCCCTCCAGTCAGAAATACATTGCTCACTAGTGCCTCCTGCTGCTCTGGAGTGTACCTATTTGTGATTAAAGCATCAAAGTTCACATCATTAACAAAAAAATAAATACCATTAGTAAAAAATTAATAAAAATGTTTATATAACATAGCATTTTCTGGCTCCTTGTAATAACTTCATCAGGATGAGGTTATGTGTTTATACAACTTCTCTGCATATTCGTGCTTTTGTGTACAACCGTTACATCCCATCATTACCTGGCCAAAACATATTGCAGAGTCTCCATCAGTCCCATCTGCTCCTCTCCAGTCAGCGAAGGCTGGAACAAAATCTCTGGACACCGCAGACGCTCCGTCCCCACAAAGAGCTGGTGGTACTCCGCCATGTTAAACACGGGCTGGAGGAGGAGGAGGAGGGAAAAAGTTCTCCTTAATTAACGTGAAGTTATGACAGTATTGACACCACCACATGTTTCAAATGTTGCAATAGCAAAGTTATGCTCAAAAACTACTAGAAGTTTTTCTACACATTTTGCCACACAGGACCGCAGCAGGTATTTCCCTGCACAGCATTAATGAGGCTCTACATGTCTCTGAGACATTCAGGTATCCTGTGCCATTACCTGAACCACATTAGCAGGTTTCTCTGGCAGCGAGTCCTCGGGGAAGTCAGAATCCATCAGTGCCACTCCATCTGTCTCGTCCATCGGCTGTTCCAGCTCTGACACCTGACGGAGAGCCACAGAACAGCCTCAGGCTTTGTGTCAGGAGCACTACATCCACCGCAGCAATCAAGCATAGATGCTGTAGAGCCTCGCAGCACAGTCGTGATAATGACATTTACACCTAATTATTGGATCATTTCAATTTCACTTGTGCTCTGTAGTCATTTTCACTGTAATTTGACAACTTGAGCTCTTCTTCTGGATTATTTACATAACCATCTCATTATAGATACAGTGCTAAAACTGTCATATGCTCAGGTCATACATAGCATTCTTCTACTAACTGCTTTACCTTTCTACCAAAAAGCAGTTACAGATTTGTTTATCCAAATACTGATTCAGACACAGAGCCTGGAAATGTGGGCGCAGCACATGCAAAATCAAGTCTGTACAACCAAATTCTACTTTTTAAACTTGATGGCAGAACACCTACCTCCGCCTTTCCCTCTGCTCCATCACTGTGCAGCAGCTTCTGTCTACCCTGCTCTACAGCGAGCTGCAATTTGTTGATGTACGACTGCAGCTCCTCGGCTGAATCCATGTTAAGCTCCACCAGACTCTTGTGAAACTGATCTAGCAGGCCGTCCTCCAGCAGCTCCTGCACACACACACATTACTCTATGATCAGTAGGTGAAATACTGAGAAAGGATGAATAAACTCTAAACATAATTAGAGTAAACTCATTTGAAGGCAACAGATGGAATTTTACATATTTTTTTAACTTTTTAGCTCCATTTCCAAACAATATACATCGAAAGTCTGAACTCACTAGCTCACTGATTTTTTCCTGCACAATTTTATCAATACAACCAGTTCTCTGAGCTTTCAATGAAACAAAAAACTATCTTTGAGCCCACAGAGTACAAATTTCTTAGCATATCTTCATGTCTTCTCTTGCTGGTGCCGTAGTTCCTTTTGATGATGCATCCCTGGGTAGCTTTTTTGTTTATGGTCATCCATAAGTAAAAATGATTTACTTACTAGACATAAACTCAGATTTACACCATAGAATAACTAAAATCATACATTGCCTTCAGCACTTTGATGTGTTTATTACTGAGTGCCAATTTCCATCTTGTCTTCCGTCCTCAGCTGGAACAATCAATCAATCAATCGTCTTTGACTCGCAGTGTAACTGCCAACATCTAAATTATGCATTTCTTTTCTGCGACTCTCTTTCGCTCTTGCTTGGTCACCCATAGTGTTGCAAATGATTCCCGCAATCCCAGTGGAAGTGCAATGGAATGAAATTTTATCTGCCAATCAGGTGCTATGTTAGAAATCATGTTGTTTGTCAACACTGCACTACCGTTACAACTACTATAAGTATGCATGCATGTACCGGCCTAAAAACAAGATCCAAACCTCCTGATGGCAGTTCCATTGAAATATAGAAAGGTAGGCGTTTAAAAAAAAATGGAAAAAGATAAGAGAAACAAACAGGCTGACTGATAAATAAGACAGGAATCCGCCATCAGAGAGACGACTCTTGTGCTTGTGAACTTTAAAAGGTCCAATAAGGTCCTTGCCTGTACTGCTAAGAGTCTGTCCAGCCTCTCTTGGTCCTGCTGCAGCTTCTCCTCTCGGCGGCGAGCATTAATCTCTTGAAGTCGTCGAAGTTGCTGAGCTCGTCTCTCTTGCCGCTCCTCTACACTCACACAGCCGCCCGGCACCTTACTCGAAAACGGAAGCTGCATACGGTGAACTTCCCGCTCATAAAACTCTGGGCTGCGCCACTTTTCCAGCTCTGCGGAAAACACAGCACAGAGGAAATGCAAAGTCAAGGGGAGGAGAAAGCACATGCATGCACCTCTGTGCTGGCTCCTCACTCCTTTTATTCACAGTCATCTGTTTCTCTAGTAGTTCTGAGGAGGAACTCACTGTGTGCATTTTACTGATGTTACTTAAATATTCTTCAGCTATCATAAATCTAAAGCATTTAATTGCTGTCCCATAAAAAAAACAAATGGATAGCTACATGTCCATGGATATATTTGTACCTTCATGATAATCCACAGCAGTGTAGCTGTGCTCATGCAGCAGCTCCTCCATGCGGCTGAGTGTAATGGCAGCAAGGTGACCTGGGTATTTCAGCTGCAGGAGGCGCTGCAGGTAGGACGCTGCCTGGCTCCCAGCCACATTCACACGCTTACAATTCACAGCATCCAACCTCGAACAAAAACCAGATAAGAACTAAAACTATGGTGTGTGATAAAAATCAGGAAAGCAGAGCAAACAGTAAAAGCTGTATATAAATCATTCGTTTGTGCATGTTGATCCTCACCTGCCATTAATAACCGGCAGGATGTGTGAGCAGTGGTAACCTGAGGACAGAACGATTCCCGTGTGTGGTGACTGGAGCTTCCTTTGACTGTTATTGTGGTAGAAACTGTACAAGGAATCCACACCATAGGAGACGTATGGGACGCTGTAGCACTCAAAAAGCAGCTCTGACATCATCTGGCGGCAGTGTAGTGGGTTGCAGGGCGCCTCTGTCAGCACAATGGGGTGATCCACACTACCCTGCAATAATAATAATAATAATAAAGTGGTGTTGATGTATTGTCTGGGTGTCCACGTGACTTACATGACTATAAACAGCTAGCAGAAAATATCCCGGGAGTTAAGTTGTTCAATTAATCCTGAACTCCAGATACAAAACCTTCAAACCGACCAACGTTTCACTTACAAATGACTGATTTAACTTCCGCTCACCTCTGACGTGATGCCCAGGTGTGTAAACACATAGTCGAAGATGAGCTCCTGGATTTCAAAGTTGACCACCACGTTTCGGTCAAACTGGCTCTTCAGCAGCCACCGCAGCGGCTCCAAATTGGGGATGTCGTTACCGATCTGGGTCTCACTGCGGGCAGCGCCTCTGCTTCGCGCCGCCACCGACTTGAACAGGAGCCGCGGAGGGTCGAGCTCGGCCCCCGGAGCTGCCCAGCCGGCCCGGGTCTGGAAGGAGCCGTTATCTATCACTATAGGAGAGGGTGTATGGGTCAGATACTGTGCGGGGAGCTCAAGAATCGGATCAGGGGAGGCTTTCCAGTCCTGGAACGAGAAAATCTGACACACCGGTCCTTCTTTGGAAGCCATTTTGAAAATGTGTAACTGCAAAATACAGCCGACTGGAGTCTCGGTGTCGCCGATTTACAGTTCCTGACAGATTTTTAAATCACTTTTATCATATAACCTTTTCATAGACAGTGTGTGATTTTAGCAACACGAACTGGAAACAAACATTGATTAAAACACACACACACACACACACACACTATACATGACAAATCCGAATGGAGAAAAGCATAAGACTAATAGTCCTGCTCAGTGATTCCCTAAATATGAGACGACCCCCCTGGTGGGCTAGCAAGGTACTGCAGGTGGGCCCCATTTATGTACAGTTACATTCATCCATCTATCCATTGTATTTATATACAAAGTGAATTAAATCTGAGAATATGAGGTCGTTAGTTTGTGATATTACTCTTTACTCTTATTTACTGCTCTTGTTTCGAAGTTTGTGTCCCAGTGGCAGGTGGGTCACACTTTAGCCTTAAAACTGTGTATATGACTGGATAGTATGAGCAATTTATAGCCAAAAGCCTATATTAGTTATATAGTTTGAATAAAATTTTCAAGTAAATTCATCACTTTTTCTTGTATTTTTTTTAGAGTGAAGATTTAAGATTGGGTGAGCCCCAAGGAATTTTCTGAATCTAAGTGGGCCACAGCACTCTTAACTTTGAAAATGGCTGATGTAGCTAATATAAACAAAATACAATTAAAACATTTAAATTATTTTTAATTCCTGATCAACAATTTATTTTTGAAATGCAGTTATTTTATCTACAAAAAAGACTCCGTATAGAGTTTCAGAGAGCTGTAGAGTAAACACCAAGACCCATCACATCTGTGTAGGTTCTCAGTTCCAGGTCACAGTAATCTAAGGAGCTTGGAAAGAAACTGGACTTCTTTGAGTTTCTTGAAGAATTTTCACCTCTCATCCAAACAGCTTCTTCAGTTCTAAGACCAAATAGTGGAGATTCCCAGGTATTTAAGCCCTAGTGGGAGTTGTCCCTTAAGATGGTCATTGACCCACTATTGACCATGTGCCTCATGACATGAGCCAAGGTGTGGAAAGGGGTGTGGATCATTATCAGCAGAGGTTTCGGGTGAAGCCATTGTGAGATCTTGCCTCACCCTATCATGTGACTTCCTTCCTTCCTTTTTGAAATGCTTTAAAGTGACCTCGCAAGAACTGCTGATGAACTTCTTGGTAATATTCAGAGTGATCTATGCACTACATCTGCTACTTCAGTTATTAGCAAAGGACTGAATAACACTGTATTCATTTAGAGTACAGAAGTCTGGAGCCGGTAAACTGTTCCCCAACTTAGAAATTAAAAAGTCTGGATAACTGTATCAGAGCACAGTGTCTAGTTTTGTTTTGGGCTGTTGTTTTCTATCATTTTTTGTTGCAATAACTGGACTACAAGAAATGTCTGATAGTCTTTGTTTGGAATATAAACGTTAACAACAACAGAACCAGGACAGTGGTATATGTACAATTTAGAATTTTAGAGTTTTAACAGTTTACAGTTTAATTAATCAAATCTGCAACTGAGATATTCAAAAGTACATATCATGTCTTTAGCATTTTATATTCTTTTTGAGAGAATTATTTTAATATTTCTTGAATATTAATAGTGCAGTGCGTTTTTGGTGAAGGTCAAGAAAATGCTGTTGAACTGAACGAA